GATGGGATCAATGTGAAGCTAATGTTCTCTCACGAAAACTATCACATAACTCAAAATACAGTGTGGCACTGTGGGTTAATGCACCAGACTGCAGAGCCATTTGAACTGCAAGGTCGGTGGTTCAAGCTCACCAGCTGCTCCTTGGAAACCCTATACAGGGTCGCTATCGGTTGGAATTGACTCGATGGCACTTAACAACAAAAGCATATGCTTCAAAAAAAAAACCCTAAATGAAACACATAAAATGTGATATCCTAGGTATTAGTGAGTAGAAACGGACTGGCATTTACCATTTTGAATCAGACATTCATGGTTTACTATGCCAGTAATGACAAACTGAAGAATTGCATAGCATTCATCGTGAAAAACAGCATTTCACGATCTATCTTGAAGTACAATGCAATCTTTCATAGGAAAATACCCATAACTACCAAAAAGATCAGTTAATACCACTACTATTCAAATCTGCCCACCAACCACTATAACCAATGATGATGAACAATTCAACCATCTTCAATCTGAAATTGATCCAACAAGCAATCAAGATGCATTGATGATTGAAAGGAGGAAGTTGGAAACAAAAAGGAAGAATTAGTAGTTGGAAAATATGGCCTTGGTAAACAATGCTGGAGATCGCATGATAGAATTTTGCAAAGCCAACTTATTTAATGCGAACAACTTTTTCAAGAGCATAAACAGCAACTATACATCCTCACCAGATGGAACACACAGGAATCAAACTGACTACATTTGTGGCAAGAGATGATGGAGAAGATCAATATCATCAACCAAAACAAGACCAGAGGTCAATTGTAAAACAGACCATGAATTAATTGCTCATATGCAAGTACAGGCTGAAGCTGAAGAAAATTAAAGCCCTCCTGTGAAAGCCAAAATATGACCTTGAGTATATCCCACCTGAATTGAGAGTTCATTTCATGAGCAAATTTGATACATTACACGCTAATGACCAAAAAGCAGAAGAGATATGGGATGACATCAAGAACATCATACAGAAGAAAGCAAAAGATCATTAAGAGGATACGAAAAAAGAGAAAAGGCCAAAATTGATGTCAGAAGAGACTGTGAAATTTGCTCTCCAACATAGCAAAGAAGCAAAAGTGAATGGAAGAAATGAGGAAGTATAAGAGTTGAATAGAAAATTTTAAAGGGCAGCTTGAGAAGATAAATATTATAATGAAATGTGCAAAGACTAAAAGGGAAGAACATGCTCAGCATTTCTCAAGCTGAAAGAACTGAAGAGAAAACAGAACTATTCAAGGATTCCATGGGCAAAATACTGAATGACCCAGGTAGTATCAAAAGTAGAAAGGAACACACAGAGTCACTGTACCAAAAAAGTTGGTTGATATCCAACCATTTAAAGAGGTTCTTTATAATCAGAACCAATGGTATTAAAGGAAGAAGATCAAGGTGCACTGGAGATACTGACAAAAAACAGGGCTCCAAGAATTTATGGAATACAAATTAAAATGTTACAACAAACAAATGCAGCGCTGGAGGCACTCATGCACCTTTACCAAGAAATCTGAAAAACTACTGGCCAACCAATTGGAAGAGATCCCTATTTGTGCTCATTCCAAAGAATTATGACTCAATGGAATGTGGAAATCATTGAACAATATCATTAGTATCATTGTTGTTGTTGTTGTCAGGTGCCATCGAGTCGGAACTGACTCATAGCGACCCCATGCACAGCAGAATGAAACAATGTCCGATCCTGGGCCAACCTCACTACCACCACCACACTTGACGCCATCAATGATGTCACCTGGCTGATCCATCTTGTTGGGGGTCTTCCTCTTTTTCTCTAACCCTCCACCTTACCCAGCATGACATCCTTCTCCAGTGACTGTTCTCTCCGGACAATGTGTCCAAAGTATGAGAGATGAAATATTGCTGATGTCAGATAGATCTTGGCTGAAAGCAGTAGACACCAGAAAGAAATTTACTTATGCTTTATCGACTGTGCAAAGGGATTCAACAGTGTGGCACATAATAAACTAGGGATAACACTGAGAAGAATGGGTATTCCAGAAACTTAATTGTGTTCATGAGGAACTTGTATATAGGCCAAGAGGCAGCTGTTTGAACAGAACAAAGAGGTACTGAATGGCTTAGAATCAGGAAAGGTGTGTGCCAGGGTTGTATCATTTCAACCATACAATCTGTATGCTAAGCAAATAATATGACAAACTGGATTATATGAAGAAAAACATGACATCAGGATGTAAGGAAAACTCATTAACAACCTGCGACGACACAACCTTGTTTGTTGGAAGGTAAGATGACTTGAAATACTTACTGATAAAGATCAAAGATTACAGCCTTCAGTATAGACTGCATCTCAGTGTAGAGGAAATGAAAATCCTGACAACTAGACCAATAAGGAGCATCATGATAAATGGAGGAAAGATTGAAGTTGTCGAAGACTTCATGTTTTGGATCCATAATCAACACTCATGGAAGCAGTAGTCAAGAAATCATATGACACATTATTGTATTAGGCAAATCTATTGCCAAAGACCTCTTTAAAATGTTATAGAGCAAAGATGTCAGTTTGAGGTGATATAAACTACAAGGAAGGTTGGTGGTTCCAGCTCACCAGCCATTCCTAGGAAACCCCATACAGGGTCGCTATGAGGCAAAACTGACTCAAAGACACTTAACAACAACAACATGCAACAAGGAAGCTGTAGTATATATACTACTCATCTGTCAGCTTGTTGTACCTTGGTGGCTAATGTGTTACTACTATGGAGGCAGTGCCACTAGTACAGCAAATATCAGCCAAGCCATCACAAACAGGTTTCACTAAAAAGAAAGGCTAATTCCAAAAATTAGCCAATGAAAAGTTTATGGATCACATTAGAATACTGTTCAATATAGTGCGGGAAGATGAGGCCCTTAGGTTGGAAGGCACTCCAGTGTATTGGTGACAACACTGGACTTAAGTTGCCAACAATTGTGAAGATGGTGTAAAACTGGGCAATGTTTCATTCTCTTATACACAAAGTTGCCATGAGATACAGCGGTCAACAATAACTACGAATAACACAAAGGAACTACAGTTGAAAGCCAGTCTCTCTGTTGTTGTTAGGTGCCACT